ACACACGACGTCAGCCTCACAACATGTAGTTATGTGTTTTTATTGTGGACAACAATCTGACAGAACCTGCTATGATACAAACAAATATGAAAAATGGGAACGTCGCAACATCTATGTCACACATTAATCACAAAATATATTACACGCACAGAGGGTGAGCAAAAATACCATCATTATCTATCTGTGGAAGTTTTTGTTAGATCTTGATAGTTTTGCCGAATAAAAACATTATTATGTTGTAGAGTTAATCGTGATATTGTGAATACTTATAGACAAAGAGCGTGCTTAAAGTTATTTGATTTGATTTCTTATTAATTGTGCGTCTATTCATCTTGAAGACTGTAGCTGGATGTCGGTCAAAAAAGAAATCATGGCATTGCTTGGAAGCTCTCCTCGCTGTACATGTTTAGCAAAGCTGCTGATTGCAACATTGTGGTCATGCATGGTCCAACAATAGTTGGAATTAATAAACCACCAGGAGTGAAATAGCAGGGAGACATCCACACATCTTGCAACGACGAGTGACGGACCTCCATCCAACTACAAACATTCCATTTGATTCCAATGCTGTGGAATGCAACACGTCATTACGTGAGCACAAGATGACCAGATGCACACTACTTGCAACGAACGTACGTGATAAAAAAACTTATCACTTATTAACAAACACAATAAAGAATGTAACGACAAACACGTTTGTTTTAAGTTTAACAACATAAGCAGAAAATATGAAAGTCAACAAATGCTGAACCAATTATCATATTAAAAACGAAATCTACTCTGAAAAAATGATTGAACTTTCATGCAACCATTAGTTGTAACCTAACACCCTACAAAAATAATGGGAGCTATGAATTTGTGAGGATATCTTGCTGGGGTGTCACGTTGTGATGCACAAAGTAGAACTGTGATGTGTGTTCCTCGTGACACTGAAAGGACATTGATTTAATAAACGATACCGGTGTATAACCTGCAAGTCACAATAGGAACTGGTCACTCACTGGTTGACTGGCTGGCTGGACAGGCGACAGACAAGAAATAAAAATTTATTAAGATCACACGCACAGGTGTATTTTTTTGAGGATGACACGAATCTTTTAAACCCGTCATGCGATTCAAATTAGAATGACTTCATAATAAATGGAGATTTACAACAATTCCACAATTGGTTCAAAACGAATAGGTTAACAGTCAGCACTGGCAAATGTGCCACGCTATATTTGGTGTGAAAATGGTGACAAAAAGGATAGGTTTTTACCTGTGCTTCAACAATAATGTTATGGCCTAGTTGATGCGGTACTTGTTTTTTATCCAACCACCAAAATCTTTTACCATTTAATAGAGTCACATTTTATAATGTTAATTAAGTCATTATGAGGGTCACATTTTTTGAAATCACATTTTATAAAAAAAAAATTGAAAAGCTAAGACAATAATCATCCTGGTGGGTCAGGGTTAATTATTTTGAAAAATTTCTTGGTGGTCAAATTAGCAGCATATACCGTTGATGCAATTAAATTTCTAATTATTCACATATTGAGAAATTTATCTTTGGCTAGCTACATATACACTAATATCCACGTAATTTTGAAGACGTACACTTTTTCTATTTATTCAACATATTGTTTAACTATTTGTCACCGGGTGCTTTCTGTGATTTATCAACAATTTAAATATCTTATTATAATTTTTAAGTGTATTTAGTAGGAATATTTACAACAACACTACTTTACGTACTATGTTTTTTGAAATTTTTTAAAACCTTTCATAAAACATATTCAAGTTTTTAAACAAAAAATTTACATATTTTAATTTGAATGACAACTAAACTTCATTTCAATGACGGATTTCTCCAATGAGAAAAAACAGAACAATTGAACAAAGGGCTAAGGCATGGTCTCCTAAATAATATCCTACTGGTCGAGAATCTAAATGAAATTTTGTGTGTGCTCGACCCAAACTGAGGCCATGCTTGTTTGATAAATAAATGCTACTCGCTATATAAGTTGCTGTTGTTTACTTTTGAACGTTTTGATTTCGTTTATCAACGCTTGTATTGTGTTGTTGATTTTGCTTTTTATTTCTTTGATTTATTTAAAAATATTAAAGTTATTAAAAATATTTTATTTTAAATAATTAATTTCAAAATGGTTAACAAATCTTGTGTTTATGGCTGTAAATCTGGATATACGTCAGAAAATCGTTCGGAGTCTGAGAAAAACAGAAAATCACGTTTTATAAATTTCCAATTGATGACGAAGAATTAGCAAGAAAGTGGTTGAAAAATATCGCGAGAATAGATTTTCATCCTTCGCAACATACCAGGGTTTGTTCGAAGCATTTTACTCCAGATGATTTCATCACATCATCTCAGGACAGCAAAATCGCTCGTCAACACCGAAACAACAAGGATACGTTTTTGATAAGACTTAAACCCGATTCGGTTCCAACTATTTTTTCTAATCATTCAAAACATATGCTGTGTAAAAAAACTACATCAAGATCAGGTAATGCGCTTCGAAGCAGTAGGAATAATAAAGATATGGAAAGACTTGGAGAGTTGGAAAGAAATTTTATGGAAGAAGATTCAATTGTAGGTCTGAATCTTGAAGATATTAAAATGTATTTCATGAATCAACTTGCCATGCATTGAAATATTATGCAAATGAATTGAATAAACCAGACTGGGAAGAAACTTCTTATTTCATAGATTTAATGGTAAAATGTTGGAGTATTCTGAATGTCAAAACTCCAAATAAAGGTAAAGAATAACGTCAAACTTTTATGGAGCCTATAACTTCATCAAATGATTGGAAGTTGAAATTTGTAATTGATTTCAAAGATTTCTTAAAAAAATGGGAAAATAGCAATAAACCTGGTCTGAGTAAGGAAACATTTTTTTTTCAATACAACACACCTGTGAAGCAATAGTGCAGTGCTCAAAATATTTATTTAAAAATAAACATTTTAATTATGTGTTACTAGGCAAGTTACAGTCAGACTCTTTGAAATCTCGGTTTGGATGGTATCAACAGCTATCAGGAGCAAATTACTACATATCTATGAAACAAGTGATCGACAACCACAATAAAATATGTGGAATTTCATTATTTAAAAATAGTGATTTTGATTTTAATGATATCAAACTGGCTTTTTCTTCATCAAAAAATTCAGAGTATTCAAAAATGGCAGATGATATTGTTGACCAATTCAAATATCTTTACGAGCCTGAAAAAACAACACTTGATTCTATTTATGTTGTTGCTGGATATATTGCTAGATCTATTTTTTATAAAAATAAATGTGCACAATGTCTGGAAAATTTGGCAATAAATTCATATTTTGAAATCGAATTGGATGATGATTCCAGAACAACATATTTCGATCTAATAAATTGTGGGGGACTAAAAAGACCATCATCATGTAATTTCTATTTTTCTTTGATATGTTGGAAAGCATTTGAAGAATTAAAAAACAATGATATTTTACTACACAAATTTCTCTCTGTTTCAAACCAGCAACAATTATTTGGTGATATTGTAAATAGATTTAATGACAATAATGACTTGGAGAATGAATTTCCAGAATTTTGCACCACGGGGCATGATCTCAAACAATTAATTTCAAATGTATTTTTTAACATTGTTGCAAATAATTTAATTAAATCAATTACAGAAAATGCAAATGAAAAAAAGACTATTAATTATAAAAAAAGAAAACTTTGTAAATTACAGAACATTTGAATTTATTTTCATAATTATATTTTTTTTGCAATGAATACTGTTTTTATTTTTTTAATAAATGTTTAAAAGATTTATCGTTTTAACATTTTAATCGTTTGTTCAAAATATTAAAATGTTTGAGTGTTGCAGAATTAAAGACGTTTCGTCGTTTACTTTATGTGTGTAATATAGAATGTATGGCCTCAGTTTGGGCATGTGTAAATTTCAGTTTCTCGTCTAGTATCTAAGGCCATTATAGAAATGCATTGAATAGTGTTATGACACTGCTGAAGTGATTTCAGATCGACTTTTAATAGTCTCGTCCATAGAGAAGTTGTTATGACAATGCGTGAAAACACCTCGTTACGAATTCAGACGTGTGCTTTCATGTCATCGTTGCTTTATTGTACAAGAAACTCCGCCATGAATCGCCGTGAACATTAAAGCTATGTTTTCTAATAAATAACATTTCTCGCGTTGAACGCTGCGAAACCAAATAAATTGGTTAGGTGCAAAAGGAGTGTTAATATTTTTATTGAGTTTCTTTTTGTTGTTCGATTAGCGATTTTAACTGAAAATAAAACTGGTTTGGTTGTTGCACAAATTCTTTCATTAAAATATAAAAATCCGATATAAAACAAAATGTCAAATACATTACAATCTAAATATTAGCACGAACAATTATACACAATTCATGTTCAACATTTAAAAATACAATAATGTACGTAGAAAATATAACAACAATGCTAAATATATACAATTCAAAATTTAACAAATATTTTATAATCAGTGTACATTTGATAAAAAAAGTCAAAGAATTGGAATAAAATGAATAGTTACAGTTTAAATTAAAATAAATTAATGTGAATAAAATAAAATTTTTTAATTTTCAATAAATTAGAATAAAATAAATATAACAATTTATATTTTAAAAATAAATGAAATAAACGTTTTCAAATCTTTATAAAAAACGTAAAATTTTCTCAAATGAAACAATCCAGGTGTCCAGGTGATGTACCGTAGAGTGCAAGCAACTCATCGGTATGGAAATAAGTTAACAACTGGTGATTCAACATCTATCTCTTCATCGCTGTCTTCACTTTCCTCCTTTACATTGTTGGTTTGGTCATCACAACCAGCATGATTGTTCCGGTCATTACTGCCACCACAACTGACCTGGTCAGTAACATCAGCATTGATACTCCCACGAAGACAACTTGCTCTGGAATGAACATTTTCCTGTGAAGCTGGAGGAATGTTTGAATATTCGTTGGACGTAGGCACGTGTGGATGTTGGTCATTCATGTGTACAAAATGCTCCTCGGACTGTCTCGTCGAGTGACCACACTCCTCACACACGTACAACTTATCTCTCCTTTCCTTGTGCTTGTAATTGAACTGAACGTTGTGCACCTTCCTCGCGTGTGACTCCAGTGAACAACGTTGTGTGAATGCCTTGTCACAATGCTCGCATTTGTATGGACGGACTCCTGCATCAATTTTAAATTCAACAAAGTTATTATTCAATTGACCAAAATCGTTTTATTTGTGATTTTGTTTGAAAATCTTAGAAATCAGAAAAAAAATATGTAAATGAAAGCCAACCAGTGTGTGTTCTTGTGTGTCTCTTTAAGTCAAAAGTGTCGTTGAAACCTTTGCCACAAAATGTGCAGAGGTAGCGTTTGATGTCCGTGTGGCACTTGACGTGGCGATTGAGAAGTCGCTGCAAAGGAAAGCTCTTCAAACATACTCGACATAAGAACTTGTTGTCTTCTGTCTGCACACCTGTACAATTGGAAATCATATGGTTAGTATTATAAGTTCGATTTATTTGTTCATTATCGCTCATAATGTACTTACTGAGATCTTGTCCTTCGTGCAACTGTTTGATCAGGTGGTTCTGCAGTAGTGGGTTCTTTATTCCTCGTCCACCGTTCACCAGTTCAACGTTGCTTTCAACTGGTTTTTCCTGCAGACAGATTCGCTTGCTTGGCTGTGGAAGAACTTCATTTGCCACAAAACTCTTGCTGTTGGAGGAATTAGAAAAAGTTTCGCTGGTGTTTCGAAGATTAATTGATGTTCCACTGAATAAATTGCTGTTTCTACTTTTAAATCCAGAGTCTTGTTGCTGTTGAGATTGAAACCAACTGCAACTGCTGCTGCTGTTTAAATTTTGTGGAGTGCTGTCCGTGTTTAGGAAAGTTTCATTGCATTTGTTCGTTTGAAGTTTTGTGTTGTATTTTAAATTGTGAGCAAGAGGTGTGCTGTGGTGAAGAGGTGTTGATAACGTTGCATCAAACTGAAGGCGTTTTTTAGCTCTGCTGATTTTTTGGTCTGGGATCAAATTAAAGTGTTGAATGTCAGTTCCATACACTTCCTTCACTGGTGCAATTTGACCGGATTCACAAAGAAGTACAGGAACCACATATTTGTAGTCGTTTGCAGAGCTGCTCGTGTTGTCCTCTGAATCAGCTGTATTATTTGTTGTCAGTTTTTCTCCAGATGATTGGACAAGCAAATGGACTGAACTGAATATTGATGGTTTTCTGGTTTTGTTGTTTTTGCTAATGTGGATGTTTGTTATTTGTGAGTCATTTAGGCCAACTGCATCAGTGGCATTGTTTTCACGCGGGATCCCATCCAGTAACATTTTAGTGCCCAATGACCATCTATTTTCCATTCTTACAATAAGTTACACTAGCAGGACTAGTAATTTTAATGAGTTTTTTAAAACTTTTGCAAGCCAAAATTTGTGTCTGTTTCCAGTTGAAAATTAATGAATTCAAATGCTAAAATATTCTAAATAAGTGCAAATACAAATGTTAATAAGTTGCTCAAAACAAATTGATAAATTTATTATCTAACGTTCATTTTATATAGTCTAAAAGTTAAATTGTTAGCTCCTCCCCCTTTGTTAATAACAACCAATTGCATTGCGTGTCACGATAGTTATGAGTAGGTTGATCTGATGATATAAATTGTTTTCGTTGTATTCATTCTTCTTCATTCAACAGCATCAACAATCAATAGTTTATAAAGACGAGCAATGTTATAAAGAAGTTATTGGGAGGTCGTTGAAAATTAATAACAATTGCTCATTACGTAATAATCTTACGTCATATGTACTCATTACATGTC